AATCTCAACAGTTCTCTCTGGAAATAGGCTCATTCAATTTGTGCTGCAATTCGGCAGGGCCCTTTGTATTACTACTTGTTCTAAGCATCTCAAAATAATCCACCAGTTCAATTTTTGGTGTTTTCCACTATCTGACATCAGAACATGTTCCATAGTAGCTATAGTGCTCCAATTGGCTCAGATTTTTTAATATGATGTAATTGGAGGTATTCCAGAGGGCCTGAAGCCTGGGATAGTTAGTGTAACTTGTCCTCCAAATATACAGCTCAATAGGGAAATTCACTTGTTAATGACAACACTCCGCTGCGTGATCTCAACTTCAGATGATAAAATATGCATCTTCTTTTTTTTTTGGGTGTGCTACTCATCGCAAAACACCGTGTAGTGCTTGCCAGCCAACACACAAACTTTGATTCAGAGTTTTGATTACTAGCTATGCAGGTGCCAAAATGGGGGCCTCTAGTTATAAGCACAGCACAGAGTTGTCTTCTTTCTTTCCCCTGGCAACTTTGTATGATGGTCTTTCACAGAGTTCTAGCTCAATGTATGCTTCAACCCAAATTTTTCGTTGTGGATGTCGGAGTGGTTTTCCGACCATTGTACTGGGTCACCAAAAGGGGAAAAATGCGGAAAAGAAATAGAGAAAGGAGAAATTCAAGAGGCTTCAAGTGGACTGTCTATTGGCCTTATATGGCCCCAAAACTCATTCTGTGTGGTTTCATGAACCGTCAACATGTCGAGAGTATCTAGGTCCAAAAAAATACATGGCACGGCAAAATCTACAAAAGGGTATCGACACCCGAGTACTTGTATGGATTTATTGAGTGAGGCTCTCAAAATATTAACATGTAAGCCACTGTTGATATCAGAATGTACCCAAGTTTCAACTCCAGCTTGAAGGATGGTCATGGTTGGAAACAGGCTAGCCTGCTAATATTGTTAGCCTCCTAGACCAAGGCAACACACGGGAGAAGACATAGTTTCATTACCCTATATATATTTCAATCTTGCAAGGGTTCCAAGCTTCTGTGATTCCTTTTTCAACCACAGTTTGAATAGGGGCTCTTTTGAAAAAATCCCTGGTGAACATGTGGAATGAATGGCTTATCCAGTTTTGAGTATTCAATCAGGAGTTGAGGTACGTCACACGGCTGCTCAAATTATTACAGGGTCACATCGGCGGCTATGCGTTGGGTAGCGGATAAGCAAGGAGCTTGCTGTTAAGTGACATTACTGTAATGTCACGCACACAACACTTTTCGTGGGTGAGGTGCGTTCAAGCGCCTCATGGGTCAACTTCTCGTTTATTCCAAATGCATACTATACCCAGAGTCCACACGAATATTTCAGAGATTTATCAAAGACTTGAAGATGTGGAACTATCGTCGCCGTTTTGTGGCCATCATGTTTAGTATGTGACCCAGCTGATCCGTCGGTAAACCCTAGTTAGTGGGCTCTGCCGCAAAGCGCGCTACAATTGTTATGAGTTTTTCTCAAGTTGGCTTACAGCTGTTTGCATAATTGATGACAGTCGGCCCAAAAAAGAAACAAAAACAAATAATTGATCCGGCTGTTTGCCGAGGTCAGATCTCACGCATCCCTGCGTCGATTTCCATGATTCAGGGTGCGTTAGAAAGCGGCTAATGAGGGCTTTCAGATCATACAATAGTCTCGTGCTAAATGGCAAATTTTCTTTCTCCTCAAATTCGGGCTGTGTTATTTGAACTGAAAATTAGATTGCGCACCGTTCGGTCAATACTGATTGGATTTTGATGAAAAAAGACTCATTCGAAAGGTAATTTCAATGCAAAGGGTGGGTATATATAGGATTTTGCTTTTGCCATCAGACACTCATGTTCCCATGAATTTCACTAAGCAGTCAGTAATTCCATTCTGGCCCTCACACATCATGTGTGCCACACATTTTTATTTCATGGATATGATTGCCTTGTATACCGCTTTCAGGATCACTGAGATTGAAGTAAATCGAAGCAAAACTGATGAAGCAAGGGCTATTCAGAGTTCAGATGCAAATCACACAGCTTGAATTTGGGAGCACTGAGATTTTGTTATCTACCTTGCAAGTATGGCATGATTTGAAAGCCCTGCTCAGCCGCTTTCTAACGCGCCCTAAATCATGGAAATTGACGCAGGGATGCGTGAGATCTGACCTCGGCAAACAGCCGGATCAATTGTTTGTTTTTGTTTCTTTTTTGGGCCGACTGTCATCAATTATGCAAACAGCTGTAATAGACTCACGAATGACGCAGCAAGCTCTTTTGTGCTGAGGACCTGAGGTTCCTCATCGCCGGGGGCCCTGTGTTTAATTTGGTATTTCATGTCAGGAGTGGTTCCATGGCGATTTTAAAACATTTCTATCAGACTTCTAAGGCTAGCACACCTAAAAAGGGAAACTCTCCACTCAGTTAGAAGTGATATTGATTGTGATACTTTCCGACATACTTTCAGAAACAAAGGATTGTAATACTTTCCGCGTGCCGAGAATTTTCCGATTGGTCCGGGAAATGCCGAACCAATCGGAAAAACCTCGGCGTGTTGAAAGTATTACAATCCTTCATTTCTGAAAGTTCGTCGGAAAGTAGCACAATCGATATCACATCTAACTGAGTGGAGAGTTTCCCTTTTTAGGTGTGTAGGTTTTCTACGCCAATAAATAAATAAAAAGGGTTGAACAACGGATCAGTCGGGTGCGGGGAGTCGAACCCCGGTCTGCAGCACACATTCGAATTTGTCCGCACATTGTCCGCTGCTGTGCACCATGCACCACACCCGAGTTCAAATGGTGGCTGCCAGCCCAGAGGAATCCAAATTTCTTAAGTATCGCGTGTGTGAGCCTGTTTAATTTAGCCTTTACATGGTCATCCGGGTGTGTGGTTCCATTGCAATTTAAAAAATTTCCAACATTCAGCCAAGGTCGGGTTTTCTGCGCCAACCAAAAAAAAGTCGTTGCGGGCCATCAGACTATTCGGGTGCGGGGAGTCAAACCCCACTCTGGAGCTGCTAGGGATGGATATTTGGACTCTAATGACCGCTGCTGTGCACCATGCACCACACCCGACACACCTAAAAAGGGAAACTCTCCACTCCATTAGATGTGGTATGGAAAATGAAACTATCTGCGTCTCTTTCAGAAACGAAGGATTGGAATACTTTCCGCATGCCGAGGTTTTTCCGATTGGTTCGGCATTTCCCGGACCAATCGGAAAATTCTTGGCGTGCGGAAAGTATTACAATCCTTTGTTTCTGAAAGTACGTCGGGAAGTATCACATTTCTTATCACATCTAACTGAGTGGAGAGTTTCCCTTTTTAGGTGTGCGAGTCGCACTTTTGCATTGACTTCACCGTATACGTGGCTCGATCGATGGATGTTGTTCGAGCAGTGGGCCGTAACATTGACTTGACTGTAAGTTGGATGTAAATATATTCTCTCTTTCGTGGGGCGGGAACCTGTTCAATTTGGCGTTTTCATGTCATCGAGGAGGGTACGGTTCCAAAGTGATTATGAGTTTTTCCAGCAGACAGCCAAGGTCGGCTTTTCTGCGCCAATAAAATAAAAAGCTTTGATGGTCTGGGTGATTCAGGTGCGGGAAGTCGAACCCCGACTGCAGCCGGTACGGCCGTGCACCATGCACCACACCCGAGTTGAGAAGGTGGCTACAAGCCCGGAGAAGTGGGCTGCCGGGGGAATCCAAATCTCTTATCACCCACGTGAGCCTGTCCAATTCCGCGTTTCACGTCATCCAGGAGGGTACGGTTCCAATGGCGATTACTGTATATTTTTGTCCAACAGACAGCCAAGGCCCTCTTTTCTGCGCCAATAAAAAAGAAGTCGACGACTATTCGAATTTCGGGTGCGGGGAGGCGAACCTCGGTCTGCAGCACATATTCGAATTTGTCCGCACATTGTCTGTTGCTGTGCACTGTGCACCACACCCGAGTCAAGAATGTGGCTGCAAGTTCGGAGAAGTGGGCTGCCGGAGCTCTCATCGCCCGCATGAGCCTGTTCAATATGTTTTTCCATGCTATACAGGAGCATGCAGCTCCACGGCGATGGTAGTGTTTACTGACAGACTGCTATGGTCGGGTTCTTTTTGCGCGAAACAGTCAATTTCTTTCGCCACTATTCGGGTATGGGGAGTCGAACCCCGGACTGCAGCAGGTAAGTGCTGTGCTTTAACCTCATTGTCTGCCGCTGTGCACCTGCCACCGTGCACCACACCCGAGCTGAGAGAGCGGTTCCGAGCAGGGGAAAGTGGGCTCCCGGAGGAATCCAAATGTCTTGCCGCCGGTGTGAGCCTGTTCAATTTGGCGTTTTCACGTCGTCCAGGAGGTGCAGTTCCATGGCGACTGTATTTTGTTTCCAGCAGACAGTCAAGGTTGGTTTTTCCTTCTGTGCGAAAAAGTCTTCAAGAGTCAGGATTATTCGGGTGCGGGGAGTCGAACCCCGGTCTGCAGCAGGTAAGTGCTGGCTTCAAGCTTGGTTGCGAGCCTGCACAAGTGGGATGCCGGAGGAATCCAAATCTCTTATCGCCTGCATGAGCCTGGTCAAATTGGCATTTTTTATACCATTCAGGAGGGTGCGGTTGCTGGTGATTTAAAAAATTTCCAACAGACAGCCATTGACAAGGTCGGGTTTTCTTTCTATGCGAATAAATAATAAAAAGTTGAGCTTTTTTTCGGCTATTCGGGTGCGGGGAGTCGAACCCCGTGCTGCAGCTGATGCATAGTATCGGACAATTCTATTAATTGCCGCTGCTGTGCGCTATGCACCACACCCGAGCTGAGAATGTGGCTGCAAGCCCGGAGAAGTGGGCTGCCAGGGAATCCAAATCTCTCATCGCCGGCGTGAGCCTGTTCAATTCCGCGCTTTCATATCATGCGAGGAGCGTGCGGTTCCATGGCGACTGTATTTTGTTTCCAGCAGACAGTCAAGGTTGGTTTTTCCTTCTGCGCGAAAAATTCAATTGTCTCAAGACTATTCGGGTGCGGGGAGTCGAACCCCGGTCTGCGACTATGAAATGCTCACGCGTAGATGCAACATAACGTCGCCGCGCACCGTGAACCACACCCGAGGTAAGAGGGTGGATGCGAGCCGGGAGAAGTGGGCTGCCGGAGAAATTCAAATCCTTATCGCCCGCGTGAGCCTGTTGAATTTCGCGTTTTCAATGTCATCGGGGAGCGTGCGGTTCTGTGGCGACAACAGACAGCGAAGGTCGGGTTCTCTGCGCCAACCAAAAAAAGTCGACGCGGAACACAAGCAATAGACTATTCGAGTGCGGGGAGTCGAACCCCGGACTGCAGCTGTCAGATAGATATATTTGACCATTATCCGCTGCTATGCGCCATGCACCACACCCGAATCGAGAGAGTGGTTGCGAGCCTGCACAAGTGGGCTGCCGGAGGAACTCAAATCTCTTATCGCCCGTGTGGGCCCTGTTCAATTCCGCGCTTTCATATCATGCGAGGAGCGTGCGGTTCCATGGCGACTGTATTTTGTTTCCAGCAGACAGTCAAGGTTGGTTTTTCCTTCTGCGCGAAAAAGTCTTCAAAAGTCAGGATTATTCGGGTGCGGGGAGTCGAACCCCGGTCTGCGACTATGAAATGCTCACGCGTAGATGCAACATAGCGTCGCCGCGCACCGTGAACCACACCCGAGGTAAGAGGGTGGATGCAAGCCGGGAGAAGTGGGCTGCCGGAGAAATTCAAATCCTTATCGCCCGCGTGAGCCTGTTGAATTTCGCGTTTTCAATGTCATCCGGGAGCGTGCGGTTCTGTGGCGACAACAGACAGCGAAGGTCGGGTTTTCTACGCCAACAAAAAGAAAAAGTCGACACGGGCCACGAGACTATTCGGGTGCGGGGAGTCGAACCCCGGACTGCAGCCGGTATAGGTTTCAGATATATTTGGCCATTATCTGCTGCTGTGCACCGTGCACCACACCCAAGTCGAGAAGGTGGTTGCGTGCTGGGGCAAGTGGCTGCCAGAGGAATTAAAATCTCTTAGCCTGTCCAATTTCGCGTTTTCATGTCATCCAGGAGGGTGCGGTTTCATGCGATTATGAGTTTTTCCAGCAGACAGCCAAGGTCGGGTTTTCCTTCTGCGCGAAAAATTCAATTGTCTCAAGACTATTCGGGTGCGGGGAGTCGAACCCCGGTCTGCAGCAGGTAAGGGCTCTCTCATTAAACATTATTATCCACTGCTGTGTGCCATACATCACACCCGAGCTGAGAAGGTGGATGTAAGCCCGGAGAAGTGGGCTGCCGGAGGAACCCAAATCTCTCATCGCCGGCGTGAGTCTGTTCCATTTGGCGTTTTCACGTCGTCCAGGAAGGTGCGGTTCCTGGCGATTTAAAAAATTTCCAACAGACAGGCAGTCAAGGTCGGGTTTTCTTTCTATGCGAATAAATAATAGAAAGTTGAGCATTTTTTCGGCTATTCGGGTACGGGGAGTCGAACCCCGGTCTGCAGCCGGGATGGTTACATCCTTTACTCGAACATTTCGCTGCTGTGCACCATGCACTACACCCGAGTTGAGAAGGTGGCTGCCAGCCCGGAGGAATTCAAATTTCTTATCACCCGCGTGAGCCTGTTCAATTTAGCCTTTACATGGTCATCCGGGTGTGTGGTTCCATGGCGATTATGTATTTCTACCAGACGTCTCAGGCTAGGTTTTCTGCGCGAAAAAAAAAACTTCTTTCGAACGATTCGGGTGCGGGGAGTCGAACCCAGTCTGTAGCCGGCAAGGTCAGATATATTCCGAACATACATGCATTCCGTTGCTGTGCGCTGTGCACCACACCCGAGACGCTCCTACCCGTACGCCTCGACATGAATATATATTTGAAGCTGACTTGGACTCACAATCGCTGACAATTGACGCAGGTTTGATGTCGAGACATTGTTTTATCTCTCACGTCTTCCAAGCTTGGGGGTATCACGATATTTGAGGGAACCGAAGGCCGATTCGGTAATGCGAAGAACCTGAAGAAGAAATAAAAAGAATACGCTGAAATATGCATTCGGGTACGGGGAGTCGAACGCGCCTCTGCGACTTGGCTATGCTAGCTTACCATCATGGGACGCCGCCGTGCGCGGTGCACCATGCCCGAGTATGTGCTGTGGTCTGACAGGGTTGGCGTTGAACAGTTTCGCTTCGACAAACCATGCACAGCTTCCTCCAAGTTCAACACGTTTGTTTTAGAATGGGGCACCCGAGGGTGTGTGATAAATTTATTCGGAATTGAAGGAAGAGTTGACGAATAATAAAGTAAACCGCAAAAAAACTCGACGCGAACGTTCAGTTATTCGGGCGCGGGGAGTCGAACCCCGTGGTGCAGCTGAACGAATGGAAATAAAGCCAATAACTGCTGCCATGCGCCGTGCACTACACCCGAGGTGTGGGGTCCAGTGCGAGTCGGGGCAACTGGGGCTGGTGGCGACTTGCGGAAATTGAAGTTACAGAACTTGTTACTTGGTAGAGTTGCAGCCAACTTGGAACTGACAGGCAGTCAGAATCTCGAAAAAAAAACGCCCCTTGGCCTCCCCCACTCTGACACTCACGTGACCTTATCAGCCGCGTGGGTTCGAGTCCCGGCAGCGACATTCTTTTCTACCCTCCCTTTATGTGATGCATATACTCTGTACATGCTGTAGTTTGCTCTCTTCAATGTCAAATACTTTTGTCAACATTAATAGATACCTACCCTAACATCCAACCACTTATTACATGTCTACTTGGCTTTGCAGTGCAAAATGCATTTGCTTGAGCTAAGTTTTTGTCCAATCGCCTTCGCAAGTGGCTCAAATTGAACCGACGGGTGTCTCGAATTAGGATATACCAAAATTTCGAGGGAAAATAGATGGGTATTGATGAAGATCAGGCCCCGAGCCCAAAAAACAACTGATGTTATTACAAAATGTCATGTACCTCAATTTGTAAAGGACCGATTATCATGGGACTTCGTAGGTACATATGAACAGCATTTATACGCATGGTACATGACTGTTTGGTATTGAAATCGAGCTAACTCCTGCACAGGGGTAGCGGAAACTTCAGAAAGATCGGCCAAAAAAAGACACTACCCACCAGGATCGAACCTACAACTACGTAGGGCACTGGCAACCACTAGGCTACCGGACCCATGCCAAAACGGTTTCTTGATGTGTTGATATGCCCACATGCTCACCCGACCCCATGGATCCATCAGACAGATTTGATTAGATATGCCTTATAAGGAAATGTCAGAGTGGGGGAGGCGTGGGCCAGCTCGAAAAAAATTGACCAATTCCAAGCGTGCACAATTGAATGTGTTCCGATCTGTTCCTGTTGGCGTGGCTGAAAAAAAAAAAAGCCAACCACATATTTGCGGATGTTACCTGCAGACGACATCGGAGTGCCGGGCCGAGCAGAGGCCATCGTGGCGTCCTCGCTTCGGGCACGCTGCAGTCCCCTTTCCTCGTTCTCTCCTCTCCTCCTCCTCCTCCATGTCCCGTGCGTTCCAATTCTCCTACGATTATCCAGAGACTAACCCGGCGTAGATTCGCCACCTTTGCTGTAAACTTCAAGTCAGATAACTTCCAGAAATCTATACACTGGCTGTGCTCCTCGTCGCACCAGAAAAGTACTCGTAATGCTCGCCCTTCCGCTCCTGCCCTTCCTCCCCCCGGGTCTCTCCCCGCTCCCCTTCCCCGCCCCGCTCCCCTGGCTCCTCCTCCTCCTCGCCCTCCTCGCCCTCGCCGCCGCAGCCTACCTCCCCTTCAAATCCCTCGCCTCCTCCCTCCTCGCCCCCCACCGCGCCGCCGTCCTCCCAACAAGCACCCCCGCAAACGGGCATACAACCGCGCTCTTCCCGCCCCCGCCCCTCCGCGGGCGCGGACGCGGCCGCACCAAGCCCCTGGGGCGCTTCGCGAGCCTCGGTCTGGGGCTCGGCTTTGGCCGGCGCGCGAAGAGCCTGGGGCCCGTGCTCCCGCGGTTCGCACTTCCTCTTGACGAGCAGCGCAGTGTACATGGGCACGGGCATCCATACGCGCATCCGTACGTGCCATCCGCCCCGCCGACGCCCTCGCCCCGCCTTCCCGAGTTCGCGGGCGCCGTCCCGCTCGTGGATCTCTCGGACTCGCACTCGCATCTGCACTACGCGGAGCGCGGCGCGGAGGGGCTGGCGGGCGCGGTGGAGAGAGACAGCTGGGGCACGCTGTCCTCACTTTCCTCCGGGTCCGCACCCACCTCTACGCGCCCCTCCGTATCAGAGCGCGGAAACAGGCACGCCCAGCTGGTCGACGTCTCCCCCTCCTCAGAAGAAGCAGACTTGGTAGACGTCTCCGTCCCGCCCTCCCCTGCCGCCTGGGCGCGTGCGCACCCCATCTCGCCGCGCGCTATGGCGTTCCCGGAGCCGATGCGGCCTGTTCCGGCGTCTCCGAATGTGAATCCCCTCCCTGCGCTCCCTCTCCCTCCCGCACTCAACGCACCCCTCCTCCTCCCCCGCGCCGACATCAACACTACTGAAGCTATGAATACGCATACCCCTGCCCTTGCCCCCGCCGCCGCCGCCGTCTTCGCGACGGTGGCGGAGCCCGCGCACGAGTACGGGTACGAAGAAGAAATGCAGATGCAGGAACAGACGCAAACGCAGCTCCCCTCGCCCCCGCTCTCCCCGCCGCCGCTGTTCTCTGCTTCTGCTTCTACTTCTGCTTCTGCTTCTGCGTCGGCTTCTACTTCTGCGGCGCCGAGGAAGGATGGGTACGCGGCGGAGGCGGAGGTGGAGGCGTCGACGCGTGCGTTTGGCGGGGCGGTCGTGCACCCGGCCTCGGACTCGGACTCGGAATCGGACTCGGACCACGAGGTCGAGGCCGCGCCGCCTGCCCCTGCCCCTGCGTACCCTCTCCCCGTTTCTGGCCCCACGCGCCTGGTCGTCTCCCCGCCGCCGCCCACGGGGGAAGCGCAAGAGGGAGACGAGGAACAGGTGGAGGAACAGGCGGAGGAAAATACGGTGGGAGACGAAGAGGAAGACGAAGAGGAGCTCCCGAGCCCGCGCGCGATCGACGCGGTCGTGCGGGGGATGCATGTGGCGCCGCCGGGGTATGTTTCTGACGCTGACGCTGACGCTGGCTCTGGGGCTGATGATGATGGTGAACGGGAGGAAGGCGATGGGGCGCCTGCGTACGCTTACGCTGTGGAGGACGGCAGTGTGGAGGCGCAGGACGGCGGCGCGGAGGTAGAGGCACCTATGGAGGTGGAGGTGGAACGGGGAGTGGAAGCTGTGGCTACGGGCGGGGAGGGCGTGCTTCTGGCCCCGGTGGCTGCGCTTGCCGACGACCACGTCCACGCGTACGAGGATGTGGATGTGGACGCCCATGCCGGGGATGGGGACGCCGAACGAGGGTACGCACACACACTTCCTCTTCCTCCCCCTCCCCCTCCCCCTCCCCCTCCGCTTGTTCTCGATGTGCGGCGGACGCTGATGCGTGATTATAGGCCCGACGGCCGAGAGCAAGCGCAGGAATCAGAACGGGAAGAGGGCGAGTGCGACCTCATCTCGTGGGACGCGCCCCCTTCTCCCTCTCATCCTTCTTCGCTCCCCCCACTCGACGGCGAATACGAGTTGCACCGCACCGAGGACGACGGATATGACTTGCCCGACCACGACCACGATGATAAGGATGATGATAACGATAACGACACGAACGAATACAACCATGACTACGAACACGAACACGCCCAGCACCTGGACCTGGACTTGGTGCGAGCGGCGCACGAGGGGGAGGGAGAGGGAGAGGCGCAACACGGTGATGAGCACGAAGAGGGAGAGGGAGAGGATGAGGAGGCAAAAGATGGGGCAGACACGGACCCGGCGGAGCTCGCGCTGCCCGCGATGCCCTTGCCTTCCCTTTTGTCTTCGCATTTGTCTTCGCCCGGTACCCCACTTCCGCTCACTGGCACCCCGCTCCCACTACTCCTCAACGTCAACGTCAGCGACGTGCGCACAGACACCTCCTCCTCGCCCTCACCCTCGCCCTCCCCATCGCCCACCCAAGCAGAGGACGAGGAAGAGTCCGGCGCAGAGGCGGACGTCGAGGACGCCGACGCCGACGCCGAGGCGGGGGCGGACGGGTATGGGTACGAGGACGACCCGGACCCGGGGGAGCTCGCGCTGCCCGCGATGCCTTTACCCCTCCCTCTACCCTCGTCGATGCCCTTACCGTGGACGGCGGCAACGGCAAGCGCCCCGATGGCGTTCACGCCGCCCGCGGACGACGTGGACGTGGAGCCGCTTTTGCTTGACTTTGCTGGGCCTGGGACGCCGGTGTTGGTGCCGGGGCTGCGCGTGGAGACTTACGGGGTCGGGGTCGGGGACTCCGCGACGCAGGACGTGGGCGAGCACGACATCGCGTCGCCCGTCACCGCCACCACCGGTAGCAGGAGCACGAGCACGACAAGCAACTCCCCAGCGGAGCGCGCGCGCCTCCTGCCCCCGTACTCGCACTCCGCCGCGCGCCGCCCGCGCTCGCGGACAGAAGGCCGCCCTCCCGCTTCGGCGCCCTCTGCCCACGAGGAAGGGGAAGAGGCGACAGCGGACGGCGAGGAAGAGGTGGAAGACGCCGACGATGCGGACGACGACAACGGCGAAGAGGAGGAGGAAGTCGACCTGAGCGCCGGCATGGTCGCGCTCCGGCGCCCGCCGGCGTGGTCGCGGCGCGCGGCGGCGGCGCCTGCGCTGGGACTGCCGAGTTCGGCGCTGTTGGCGCCGCAGGAGGCGTGGGTCGTGCCGGGGGCGTTCCCCGGTGCGGGACCTGCGTCTCCGCCGACTTCCCCGCCCGCTGGCCACGCCCAGGCGGGCTCCGCTGCCACTTCCCCCGCAACTGCGACCTCGACCGCCGTCGAGCGCACCAACAGCAACGCGAGCGGCAAGCTGAAGCAGCGCCGCTCGCCGCTGGACGCCGCGCTGGCGATGCAGCTGCGCCCGGGGATGGGCGCGGGCGCGGACGGGGCGTGGCTCGTGCGGTTCTTGATGAGCTTCTTTGGGTGGTTTGCGGTGCTTGTCGCGGGGGGGCGGGAGTTCTCGTAGTGGCCGTGGTTCCTCCTTGCGCGTCAAAATCTTTTGGGTCGTGAGTTTGAGGTTGATTTTTTTTTTTTTCGCTATGCTTCCTTCTCTTTTTTGTGCTACGCTACCGTCACGCTATCATGATCACTCGCACGTTTCTCTCTTCTCTCTCTCCCTCTCTCTCTCCCTCTTTCTTTCTTTCTTTCATTCGCATATGCATTTCATTCATCGGCACAGACACACACATATTCCTCTCCGCACCGCATATTTATATCCACCCACCATCCATATATCCCACACGCACGCATCCCTCATCCTCGCATATTATATTTAGATTCAATGACAACGCACGCACGCATGGATTCTCCTCACGCACGCACACATAGCTCCATACTCTCGCATACATATTTCTTGCACATAGCACGTAGTACATACTTGGTACTTAGTCGTAACTTAATCTTTTGGGTAATTTAATGGCGTGTTTGTTGATGGTCTCTCTCTCAGGGGTGCTCGACGAAGGGGATTAATGAGGTAAAGGGCAGAAAGGATGGGTAGTTGTTAATCGGGTGTGGTGTACGGTGCACGGCAGTCAGTGCTTAGGACTGCTGGTGGATTCAAAAAGTGATGCTGCAGGCCGGGGTTCGACTCCCCGCCCCCGAAATGTGGTGGATTGGAACAGTTTTTTTTTCTTTTCGTGGATTTTTTCCTACTTGCGCCGGGGATGGGAAACCGCGTTCCAGACGACTAGGTCTCCGTTGCTGCGTATATGCCTCGGCTCTAGCACGCGGCGCCGTTTAAAATACGTTTACTTTCAAGGCATGCTGAACTGAAGGTAAACTGCTCGACGTTCAACGCGCATATGGAGAGGTTCAATCCATACATCGCATTCGGGTGTAGTGCACGGCGTCACTTGGAGTTTGAACAAAAAGGCGGACTTGCGGTGAATGGGGTTCGACTCCCCGCACCCGATTAGATGGATATGGTCCAATTTTTTCTTTCTTTTTTTGCCTGCTTGCCTCACAACAACGCAGAACAGACAGGAATGGATATCAGTACGCCCGGAATAAGAAGCGTCTCATCAGAAAATACGCCCCGGAAGAAGGGCATGCGGAAGCCGACAAACAGAGAGAGGCGTTGTGGATTTTTTTCTTGTCTGAACCCTGAGTAGGCGAGCGACGCTGTTTGTCGTCAAAACGGAAGAAGCAGTGAGGAGGGAGAAGTGCTACCGCCAGAAGGGAAGGTGCAGGATAGAAGGACGAGAAGGAGCCTGGGAAGCGAATCGGAGAAACGAGCAGGTTTTGAAGAGCAGAGACCCCCAGGAGATTCGAGTGGAATTCGACCGTAGTGAAAGAAGGTTTGCTTTCTTGAATTTTCAATTCCCGTCCCTCGTTGGAAGGGCGTGGGTGGCGCCTGCGCGGCGGAGAGAGAGGAGGGGTGCGAGAGCCTGGCCTTGACAGGGTGGTAGCTGCGGTCGCAAGGCGAAAGAGGAGGGGCCAGTGAAGCGGGGAGAGGCCCGGGGGAATAAGGGAGTCTTAGGGGAGGAGGATCATCCTACTTTTCTGCTGCGACGAGGAATGAGTATTATTGCCGCCAGTGTATAGATTTCCAGGCCAGGTAACTGATTTGCGGTCTAAAGCAAAGGTGGGCGTCCTACGCGGGATAGTCTCTGGATAATCGCAGGGTAATTGGGACGCACGTCGGACATGGAAGAGGAGGAGGAGAGAACGAGGAAAGGGACTGCAGCGTGCCCGAAGCGAGGACGCCCCGGTGGCCTCTACCCGGCCCGCCAGTCCGACGTCGTCTGCAGGTAACACCCGCAAATATGTGGTTTTTTTTTTTCAACCACGCCAACAGGAACAGATCGGAGGACATGAAATTGTAATTGTAATCCACGCTTGGAATTAGCCAATTTTTTTAGTGATTCTGACTGCCGTTGATTTGTGTCAGTTTCAAGTTGGCAACTCTGCCAAGTTCTGAATTGCCTTCAACAATTGTGGTAACTTCAATTTTCGCCACCAGCCCCACTTGCCCCCACTTGCCCCGACTCGCACTCAACCCCACACCTCGGGTGTAGTGCACGGCGCATGGCAGCAGTTATTAATTCGGAAGCCATTTGAACCTTTCAGCTGCAGTCTGGGGTTCGACTCCCCGCGCCCGAATCACTCAAAAATGCTGCGGAGGTTTTTTTTTTCACCTACAGCGCCATGAAATTCCAGACGATCTGTCTTCACTAACTGATGCTCGGCGGCGACTTCCCGTGCACCTTACGACACTCAGAGGTGTATGGTGGGGGGAAGGCTGGCGTAGCACAGATTTGTGTTTTAGATGATGGAGAGACTAGAAGCCCACTTCTCCGAGCTTGCAGGCACCGTCACATGGTCCGATACTATGCATCAGCTGCAGCACCGGGTTCGACTCCCTGCACCCGACTGATCCGTTGCTCAACCCTTTTTATTTATTCATTGGCGTAGAAAACCTGGCCTTAATAGAAGTCTGATAGACATATATAATCGCCATTGGAACCGCACCTCCTGGAGCCTTGGCATGAAAACGCCAAACCGAACAGGCCCACGCGGGTGATAAGAGATTTGAATTCCTCTGGCAGTCCTCTTCTCCGGGCTTGCAGGCACCTTCTCAGCTCGGGTGTGGTGCATACCGCACAGCAGCGGCAATTGTGTTGGGTTGCATCAACTACAGCACGGGGTTCGACTCCCCGCACCCGAATAACTCAGAACAACCTTTTATTATCATTTGCCCAGAAAGAAAACCCAACCTTGGCTGTCGGTTGAAAAAATTATCATCTTCATGGAACTGCACGCTCCTGGATGACATGAAAAGCTAAATTGAACAGGCTTAGGCGAGCGATGAGAGATAGAGGGTATTTCAACTCCTGCAGTTATGTCAATATCACGGCCATGCTCGAACAATCGAGCCATCTATACGGCGAAGTCAATGCTTAAGTGCAACCCGGGTGTGGTGCACGGCGCACAGCAGCTGACATTCGCCGAATATCGTCTATACCGGCTGCAGACTGGGGTTCGACTCCCCGTACCCGAATAGTCCATCAAGAAATCGACTTTTTCGCGCAGAAAGAAAACCCGACTTGTCAATGGCCGTTTATTGGAAAAAATTATAGTCGCCATGGAACCTCAACCTCAAGAATGCCAATTTGAACAGGCCCACGCGGGCGATAAAAGATTTGAATTCCTCCGGCAGCCCACTTCTCCGGGCTTGCAGGCACCTTCTCAACTCGGGTGTGTGCACGGCGCACGGCGCACGGCAGCGGCAATTATTCGGTCAAGATAATAGTATGCATCAGCTGCAGGCCGGGGTTCAACTCCCCGCACCCGAATGCGTCGTTGGTACCTGCTTTTCCTCCCATTCCGTCGAATAATTTCCTGCACCCCACCGATTCCACTCGACTGAATGGAGAGCTGAATTAAACCGATGAGATTCTCATCCCTCTTTCTATTTGACTCTCCACGAGCCAGATGCCAATTGATATTTGTTTCGATTGCTGGTTCGCCCCAACTCTTTTGACTCCCACTCACCCACTCAATTCCGGTGTGGTACACGGCGCATAGCAGCGGCAGTTGTCTATATCTCCTTCCAGTATGCATCAACTGCAGCACGGGGTTCAACTCCCCGCACCCGAATCACCCAGACCATCCAATCTTTTTATTTTATTGGCGCAGAAAACCCGACCTTGGCCGTCTGTTGGAAAAAAATATCATCCCCTTGGAACCGCACGCTCCTGGATGACCATGAAAACGCCGAATTGACCAGGCCCACGCTGGCAATGAGAGATTCGGATTCCTCCGGCAGCCACTTGCCCCAGCACGCAATCACCTTCTCGACTTGAGTGTGGTGCACGGCCCACAGCAGCGGAATGTTCGAATATATGCCTTACCGGCTGCAGACCGGGGTTCGACTCCCCGCACCCGAATAGTCCGGAAAGAAATCAACTTTTTTTTCTCTCATTATTCGCACAGAAAGAAAACCTGGCCTTGCAGTGGCTGTCTCTTGAAAAAAAATTATCATCGCCATGGAACTGTACCCGCCTGGATGACGTGAAAACACGAAATAGAGCAGGCTCACGCGGGCGATAAGAGATTTGGATTCCCCAGTAGCCCACTTCTCCGGGCTTGCAACCACATTCTCAACTCGGGTGTGGTGCACGGCGCACAGCAGCGGACAATTATGTTCAAGTAGATGCCCTTATCTGCTGCAGACCGGGGCTCGAATCCCCGCACCCGAATCACCCAGACCATCCAATCTTTTTATTTTATTGGTGCAGAAAATCGCGCCTTGGCTATCTGTTGCAAAAAAATACCTTCCCCATGGGACTGCACGCTCCTAGCATGACATGAAAACGCCAAACCGAGCGCGGGCGATAAGGATTTAAATATTCCTCCGGCAGCCCACTTCTCCGAGCTTGCAGCCACCTTCTAAACTCGGGTGTGATGCACGGCGCACAGCAGCGGACAATGTGAGATTAGACCAATATACGTCCCTAGCAGCTGCAGACCGGGGTTGGACTCCCTGCACCCGAATAATCCTGACTCTTGAAAACTTTTTCGCGCAGAAAGAAATCTCACCTTGGCTGAGCTTGCAGGCACCTTTTCAACTCGGGTATGGTGCACGGCGCACAGCAGCTGTCAATTATGTTAAAGTAGATGCCCTTATCTGCTGCAGTCCGGGGTTCGACTCCCCGCACCCGAATAGTTGAAAGAAATCAACTTTTTTTTCGACATTATGAAAGAAAACCCGACCCTGGCTGTCTGATAGAAATATATATATAATCGCCATTAGAACCATACCCTCCTGGATGACGTGAAAACGTTAACACCCAATTAAACAAGCCCACGCGGGCGACAAGAGATTTGGTTGGATGCCTCCGGCAGCCCACTTCTCCGGGCTTGCAGGCACCTTCTCAACTCGGGTATGGTGCACAGCGCACAGCAGCTGTCAATTATGTTAAAGTAGATGCCCTTATCTGCTGCAGTCCAGGGTTCGACTCCCCGCATCTGAATACTCCGGAACTTGCGATTGTTTATTCGCACAGAAAACCGGGCCTTGGAAGTCTGATAAAAATATATAATCGCCATTGGATGGCATGAAAAAAACAAATTGCCCAGGCTCACGCCAGCGATACGTAAGAGATTCGCCTCCGGCAGCCCACTTCTCCAAGAGCTTGCAGGCACCTTCTCAGCTCGGGTGTGGTGCACGGTGCACAACAGCTGTCAATTATGTCGAATATATGCCTTACCGGTTGCAGTCGGGGTTCGACTCCCCGCACCCGAATAGTCCATCAAGAAATCGACTGTTCATTATTATTCGCGCAGACTGAACAGGCCCACGCCAGCGATGAGAGATTTGGATTCCTCCGGCAGTCCACTTCTCCGGGCTTGCAGGCACCCCCGAAACTCGGGTGTGGTGCACGGCGCACAGCGGCGGACAATGAGCGGACAATGAAATATATTAATGCTCCTAGTCCGGGGTTCGACTCCCCGCACCCGAACTGCAGTCTCAGCTTTACAACTTTTTCTTTTCACACTAGCTGTAACCCGTGCTATGCAAAGTTATCTGCATCCAGAAGTCTATGTAGTCAGATGAAGTCATGTTCCGACGGATACCATAATCCTGGTACATGAAGAAATCTGAGGTCTTGGAACTCCGACAGGGACACTAGTCACCAACTTATGGTTGGTTCCTCGTGTCCCCGATAGACCGTAATATCCCCTGAATATGAGATTCAAGATCCCTGCTGCCTTACGCCTTTGTAATCTTGTCAGTCCTCGAGAATTCACCCATCAATGGCTGTGCCTTAGTAACACCAGCCCTTGCGGTAGATATTGTCTTCCCTTCTACATTGACCAGTCAACCTGCCCCGAGATCTGGAATGGCACGTTAAAATTACTTCTTCCTTCACCAAACCCTTTCCTACCCTGTAACATCTTTCGTCGTCTTCAACTATGTATTCGAGTTCGGTTCAATGTAGTCTTTGGTCTGCCCTCATAAATTGACCCACTGTGCTGGTACCTTGGCCCGTCCGCATTTACTGGAAGGCCCAAATTTGAATACAGAAAACTGTAAGAGTTTTTGTGAGCTTGTTCACTTTGAATTTATTCTGTCGTGCCATATATATATTCAAGCATGCCAGCCCTCGTCAAAGTTTGCCCTGCCCTCGCAAATTCACTCCAAGACATTGACCTCAAAACTGAAGGAGAGAGAGTGAATGCTAAATGACCGAAAACCTGGAAAGTTGAAAGCCAGCTGGAAGAAGCCGTATAATAAGATATTCACGCACATAACAAGATCGGATTTCTGCTTGCTGTTGGAACAAATTGCCATGGAACCGTATACTCCTGGGCCCTGGAATGAAAATGCGAACTTGAACAGGCTCCCGCCGGCGATCAGAGATTTCACGAAAGAGAGGATATTTCGACCTCAAGCCTGGGGTTATGTCAGAAACAGTAAACCCAACTCAATAAATATTCATCTAACCATGTATGGTGAAGTCAATGCATAAGTGCAACTCGAGTGTGGTGCACGGCGCACGGCAGCGGCAGTTATTAGGGCAACATCACGGTATGCATCAACTGCAGGCCGGGGTTCGACTCCCCGCACCCGAATGCGTCGTTGGTACCTGCTTTTTTCCCCATTCCGTCGAATAATTTCCTGCACCCCACCGATCCCACTCTCGACTGAATGGAGAGCTAAATCAAACCGATGAGATTCTCATGCCCCTCTCTGTTTGACTCTCCACGAGCCAGATGCCAATTGATATTTGGTTCGATTGCTGGTTCGCCCCAACTCTTTTGACTCCCACTCACCTACTCAATTCGGGTGTGGTACACGGCGCATGGCAGCGGCAGTTGTCGATATATCCTTCCGGTATGCATCAAATGCAGCACGGGGTTCAACTCCCCGCACCCGAATGCTGGGCTGGCCCAATCTGTTTTCCCCATCCTGTCTAACAAGCTCGTTCGCCCTACCGATCTCAATCTCAACTGGAGCTCAAATTAAGCCGATGAGGTCCCTAAGTTCAATTCCGAATATGTAGGAGCCAGATACCGGTTGATATTTGGTTCGAATGCTGGTTCCTCCAACCGCAGTGGATCCCAGCTATTTTGACTCTCACCCACCCACTCAATTC